AAAAATTTACATCAATTCAAATTTTATTTCCTTTTTCACATACAAAGAATAATAAAAAACATAATGATTAACAGATTGTATAAACTCTGAAACTTATAAATAAAAATTTTGTAATATAAGATGATTAATTTACTCGTACTTGAAATTTCCTCCGTCAGATATACGATAGAGTGCGTGTAATTCTTCTCATGAAAACAGAAAAACAAGATTATATTCTAAGACCATAGGAGTCCTATAACAAAAATAATGCTCCTAATTTTCTTTTCAATAATACAGAAGATCGTGCATAAAACAAACGTTTGCATCTACTGACGTCATTTTTATGCTTCATATATTTTTTGAATAGAAAATATAGATGTTATTATTTGAATCATCATTATGATGTTTTTTTTTTTCTATATTTTTCAGTGCAAGTAAAACAGAAAATTGATATAAACAAGCTTCTTTTAAGAATGAAGGGTAATAATTAGTGTTTGAGTAAAGGAAATGCAAAAACTATGTGAAGAGCTTTCGATTTCTGCATGAATGAAAAAAGAAAAGATGGAAAATTAACTCAAGAGTTTATTGAGGCAAACAAAGAAAAAAAACATGATTAATTGAAAACACTCCTTGACGTAGAGTATTTCATAAGTATTGAATAGTGTCAACTGTTCAAATGATATTTTATTCAATAAAATATTCTCTTGTAGACATGACAATTTCAGGATAAATTTTTTGCAAGAGACCAATGTGATTAGTTGCTCTACTTGCATACCAAAATGAACCGGAAATTCCATAGTAACAGGCAACTGAACTCGATTGTAAAAGAGTAGCAACCCATGTCCATGACAAGACAATAGCCGATGCAATAAGACCCATTTTAACTGTAACATGGAAAGAAAATTTGTTTTCAAGAGAGTTCTTTTGTTCGAATCTATATACAAAATGATTCACTTATTTTTACTATTTTTCTTCAATTTATTGTATTCCTATAAAACGTCACAAAATTTTTTATTTATATATGATTAGATAGAGCGTTGATTACTCTATTCAATGGTATAGTTTTCATTTGATTTATTTCATGTGTTGGTTAAAAAATGAGTAAGTTTCGTGAAGCAGGCAAAAAAAAATTTTTTTTTGTGTAGAATTTCGAAATGTTTTCTTCGAGTAATTCAAGTAGTTATAACATATTGGACGAATGAATATATTTCATTTTTATATAGTTAGATAGAGAATTCATTTCTCTATCGAACTATATACATTTTTTTTTTTATCAATTTATTTTCTACTTTGAAAAATTTAGTGAATT